CCCTTGGTGAAGGCAGAGAACCAAAAATCCTTTTTTACCCTCCTGGTGAAGGCAATATATCTTGAAGCTTTTTCTCCTTCCAAGAGAAGGCAGAGTACCTTGAATCCTTTTCACCCTCATGGTGATGGTAGAGAACTATGACTTAGTGGTGTAAAATTTCTCCCCTGAGCCACTAAAGAATCAAGGCATAGACTTGAAGAACATAGTCAATAACCTTTCTTAGAGTAACCTCATGAATCCCTCATAACTCTCCCTCATAAAAAGCTATTCATCTCTTCTCTCCCAAAGCTCTCCTAAACTCCTTCTCTAAGCTCCCTCTTAAGACACTTAGTGGCAAAAAGCTGTTGAACAAATCTAAGTTAGAGCCTTAATAGAGAGCCTCTAAAAAAGCCCTAAATTTCACTTTTCCATTTAAGATCATCTAGTACAATCCTACAATCATCCTATATGATTAATACAAAATAGTCCTTATAGAGAGTACAAACTGCATTATCTTGCATGATTAGATCATAAGCTTATACTGATTGTCTAGTATGATAGGCATTGATAAATCATTCCACATGCAGTTCTCAATTTGTATAGTATGAAATTGGGGGGGGTCTTCCTATATAATTAGTTTAAAAACTATTGTATTTCATCTTGTATGATATATGATGATAAATTATCATCCCATGCATTGCTCGGGTTGTATAGTACGATTGGTCGCCAATGATCCTATACAATTTGATCAAACAAATTAATCATAATTGTTACCCTAATCATATGATCAAATTAGACAAGATTGTTATATATATTACAATACGATGCATATCGAAGGAGATGATTATAATAAAATTTGAATTTTAAAATATTGCCTAAATTGTGATTGGTGGTGATTTTCATGATTATAACTGATCATCCTGTAATATAAGAATCATCCAGTATGACGAGTTTAATCAATCTCAATTAATAAAAAAATGTCATAGCTAATGATTTTCCTGGTTAATTTATCATCTAGTATGATATAAATCATATAGTTTGATTAGTTCAGACAATTCATCTTCTTCCAAGCTCACTAACTCACCTCCTTATGTGTGTGTGTGCAAGATTACTCAGCTTTAGGATCCACCAAATTATATGATTGACTCAAAAAGATAAAAAGAATAGAAAAACTAAAAATATAAACTTTAAGCCTAGTCTACTCAATCTTGAGCTGATCAAAGTTGTGAGCAGTAGACCTAAAATGTTAGTGAGATGAGAAAAGCAGATATGTAATAAAATCAATTATCAAGTGATAACATAGTAAAAAATACAATAATATTTGTTATCATCAGAATCACAAGAGTTGAGTCTAGATTTGCAATAATCTCCCACTTTTTGATGAAGGTAAACATTGTTGGTTTATGTTTTAAAAGTGTTTTGCTATTCCCTAAGCCCCCCCTTACTAAATAAATTCTTTCAAAAATAGGGGAGGTGTTGGATTTTTTATTTTTAAGTGAAAAAATAACACATAATAATCGAACAAAAAATATTAAGAGGCAAACATGGAATTAAATATTTTTTTAAAAAATATAATTTACCGACAACATGCTACTATCCCTTTTGACATAATAAAAAGGAGGAAACAATAACAAAAAATAAGAAACTGAAAATAATAAAAAGTACAGGAGTAAAAAATGATCACAAAATAGAGAAAACTAAAACAAGGATGGGGGGTGGTCAGGTGGAGGTGGTGATTAGAAGTACTAGTGGAGTGAAGTAAACTGATTTTTCATCCAAGCCATGTCCTGATCATGCTGCTGCCGCTACTGGACTTTGTAGTGATTAAAGCTGCAACATTATAAAATGCTATTTTTTTTAGACTTTATAATAGTAGTTCCTGATCTAAATGATGTAGTGCTTGAGAAGTAAATACTATGGTGTTATAAGATCTAGAGCTACGTCACTGCTTAAATTTTGAAACTTATGTGACTTTTTAGAATAATTAATATATGATTATTTTAGTCGTAATCATAATTATAAATACATATTTAATAAATATTTAATATTTTTCATAATTATTATTTAAAAAACAATAATATCAAAGTCACACAAATAAACCAAAACTAAGAAATAACATCAATATGTTTGGGTTACCTCCCAAGTAGCACTAAATATGTAGCATTCAACTAGCTTGCTTAAAATTTTCATTTTGGCTAGGTTGCATTAATTCCACTCCTCAAGTGGTCCATGCTATGATCCTTCCATTTCCCCTTTCGAATAATTTTTATTTTACTAGGAAACATTCCATAGGTTCTACTACTAAAAGAGATGGCAAGCTATCCCAATTAATTTTCTAAGTTTTCTATTCAAATAGCTTGACTTTGCAATTGAGTTCTAAATTGAATCACTTTCTCTTTCGAAGGTGTCTTTTTATATCTAGATTTTTTTTAATAAGTATACACACTAAATATTCAAGTCCACATATCAAACAAGTAATAAAGAAATTGAGAGAGTGTCGATCCCATGAGAAAGTATTGTACTAATATATAAATAAACTAATAATGTCTATTGTAGCTATAATATTTTATCCTAATGATGGGGGCTATGGGGTAACCTATAGAATTATGAAATATTTTTTGGGTTCTATATTTCCCTAACAATGCTTAAGTTTAATGCATTATTGCTTCTTAAAAAAAAAAAAACAATGCTTAAGTTTTCTTTGATATAAAAAGTATAAAAACCCCACTTAATCACCCAGTCTTTAGAAGAGATTTTCAAATTCCTTGCGTAGCTGCTTGTTGGCAGGTTTCATGCCAACGATGGAGGGTCGTCCTCCGGCCATCTCTGATGACCAGAATTATCCTCTGTGGAAAGGAAGAGAAACAATGGCATCTGGTAAAGTGAATTATGTGATTACTTCAAGAATATGTAACACGGATCTGGTTATCCGGGAGCCAATTTTGGAGAAGGCTCAAGTTATGTCTCCTGTGAGGGGGAAAGGTAAACAAGTGATGGTAGAAGATTCATAAAGTTGGATCTTCTTCTTCAGAAAGAAAATTGATTGTCAATAGATTTGCCTGTTTGAAACCATTATCTGGAACAGGGGAAGCTAAATTTCCTAAAAAAATTCAAGGTTGTAAGCCAAATATTTGTGAAAAGGCTAGAGAAGGAGGAAATCAATCAACATCTGTAATGGAAGGTAAAGCCAATGCATCAGGGCAGGAACCGGTTAATCCATGGACAAAACGTCTGTATATTAAAGTCAAACTCCCGACCTGTGAATCATTTTTGATGGAAGATGGATCAGCAGTCAAGCTAATTGAGCAAAATGTAAAAGCTAACTCTGAATAACTGCAATGTTCCATTATTGTGAAGGTGTTTGGGAGTATCATCCTGATACAGCTGATAGCAGCTGAGTTGAGACGTCAGTGGATTAAGTTTGGAAAATTTCATATCACTAGTCTTGGCTCTGGTTGGGTATTATGCTCTTTCTTCTCTAAGGAAGCCATGAAGAATGTTTTAGTAGGAGGTTCATAGTTTGTCAATGGGCATATAATTAGACTAGATAAGTGGAATTCGAATTTTAATCCCAACTCACTCAAGGGTCTATCTTCTCCAATCTGGATTAGGATGCCAAATTTGCTGCTTTACTGCTAGGATGAAATCAATGTTTCTAGAATAGCTTCTTCTATTGGAGAACCCATTTTGATTGATGGAGATATGTTTCAATGGGGGAAGAGAGAATTTGCAAGGATATGTGTCCGCATCCAGCTTGACTATCAATTGCCTACTGGTGTTTGGGTGGAAGGGATAAATGGCAATTTTTATCAAAGAGTTGAATATGAGAAATTTTCTAATTTATGCTACAAATGAGGTCGGATTGGCCACTTAAAAGAAGCTTGCAATAGTATTGAGAATAATGAAGGGTCAGTAGCAAACGCTGATCAAGGTGAAGAATCTGTTACAGTTAAAGGTATTAGTACCAAGGAAGACCCAGCTGTGAGTTCCTGGATATTAGTCAATAACAGGAGGAATAGAAAAAGAAACTTGGGAAGGGCTAAATTGAAATATATTCCTAAGGAAGGAGGTTCTCTAAAATCTGCTTATGGGGAGAAAGCTATTAAGGTGGTGCATAAAGAAAGAAAGGTGATGAACTTGGAAGACAAATATGGAGTATCGGGTTCTCAGGGAGTGGATATTTTGGAGAAAGTCAATCCAAGTATGCTAAAGGGTGATAGTAATCCTGTCTTAGATCAGAGTACTATGGATGTGGTTGTGAATTCTATTGAAGCTACGGTGGAAGACAGTAATCCAACTAGAAGTATGTCAGAGTTCAGAGATCCTAAGGGAAATCTAGAGTTTGATGCAGCTCAGGAAGTCTTCTTTACTTCTGGCAATAAATTTGAATTACTTAACTGTATATGTGAGGAAAATGTTGGTCTGGAAATTCAGAATGATTCCAAAGAAGAACCTGTGGAAGAAGGAGAACTGGTGGAGGATCTGGAAAATTATCAGCCTAATAGTAAAATTGAAGAAACAATTTGTAGCAAGGAAAAGGATATGGTAATTCATGGTGAGGAGAATATTAATCTGAACTTTGATAAGGCTTCTAATCAAAAAATCAAACTGGCAAAGGAGCACGGATATCTTGGCCCATTGAATGTGAATTCTAGGCAAAGCAAAATTAATATGAAAAAGAGAAGGGGTGGGGGCTTTTCCCCATTCTTATCAAAATGATTTCTATTAGTTTTTGGAATTGTAGGGGGGCTAATAAGGAGGCCTCCTTGTATTTGAAGGATTATATTAAAGATTGGGTTGTATTTTTTGTGGGGATTGTTGAAACCAAAATTTCTTCTCTTTTTAAGGAAGAATTTGGTAAGTTTACAGGGGGAGCTTGGGAGTACTTGCTTCTACCATCTAGAGGAAAATCTTGAGGGATTCTTGTAATTTGGAATTCGGATGTGGTTTCATTCTCCTTGGTGAAAGCTTCGGACCAGTGTGTAGTTGGTGAGTTAAAAGTATTCAATAAAGGTATATCGATGGTAGCAACCGTTTATGGCAGTAGGGAGATGCATGGAAGTAAAGAATTGTGGGATTTCCTAGATGGGCTTTTGAAGTTAGAAGTTCCCGCAGTGGTAGGAGGAGACTTCAACTGTATTCTATCTCAAAATGAAAAAAAAGGTGGGAAGAAATTTTCTTTCTAACTTGGTTCATTGGAGATGAAGGCATTTATGAATAGAAATGATCTACATGATGTGGGTATTCTAGGTTCAAAGTATACTTGGTGTAATAAAAAGAGTGGCAGTGGCCGTATCTTGGAGAGGCTGGATAGATGTATGTTGAACTCAAAAGCCTTGGAATTGATTAGTCAAGCAGCTATGAGGCATTTGAGTAGAATTGCGTCAGACCATTATCCCATTGTATTGAAGATGTTTTTTCAACAAAATCATAGAACCAGAATTCAAAAATTTGAAGATTTCTGGTTGTCTTATTCTGCTACAGCCACGGTGGTCAAAAATTCATGGGCAAAACCAGTGAAAGGTGATGACATGGAAGCTTTGAACAAGAAACTAACAAGGGTTCTTAAAGCCTTATTTTTTTGGAGCAAGGCAAAGCACCAAGAACTGGAGGAATTGAAGGAAAATTTGAAGATTGAAATTGAAAAACTGCAGCAGGAAGAGGCTCTGGATCAGAATGTTTTGGATAGAAATGTTCTGTTACTCAGGTCCAAAGTTCAAGAATTCAACTGTACTTTAGCACAATTAAATACATGGTGGAGACAAAGGGCTAAGGCCAAATGGTTGAAGGAAGGGGATTGAAACTCAAGTTTTTTTTCATGCCTTTGTAAATGGTAGAAGAAATGGAAATTTAGTCAAGCAATTAAAGGATGTTGCTGGGAAGCTGATAGAAGATCCTGAAACTATCAGGAGCTATTTTTATGATGTTTTCTACAGTAAATGGAAGCTCAAGAGCTATCAATTGGAAAATTGGCCTCAAAATGAGAATATCCTGAATCGAGAAAGCTATAAAATGCTTGATGCTATCTTTTCCATTGAAGAAGTTGAAAAAGTTATCAGAGAATTGGGCAACAACATCTCACCAGGGGTGGATGGAATAACCTTCTCATTTATCAAATCTTATTAGAAGATCATTGGGATGGATGTGTGGAAAGCTATTATTCAATAGTACTTTAGTTTGAGTAAAATGTCTTCTAAATGGAAAGAGACTTTAGTGGTGCTTATCCCCAAAGTAAGTAACCCTTTAACTCCTTCCAATTTTCGCCCAATAAGTTTATGCTTGTCAATTTACAAAATTGTGGCAAAAGTACTGTTAAATAGAATGATGAAAGTGATACATAGTTTAGTATCTGAAGAATAAGTGGCATTCATAAAAGGAAGAGCTTTATCGGAGCATGTGCTTCTTGCACAAGAACTTTTTTCATAAGTTCAGGTTTTCTAAATCTAAAAGAGGATTGGTGGCTATCAAACTGGATATAGAACAAGCTTATGATAGTATGGCCTGGAATACCCTGAGGCAAGTCTTGAGATATTTTGGTTTTCCTGATAGGTTTTCCAACCATGTTATGGAGTGTGTTACTGACCCTGTTTTCTTGGTGCAAATTAATGGTGTTGGTTTGGAAGGGATAAGAGGAAGAAGTGGCTTTAGAAAGGATTGTCCATTGTCACCTTACTTATTCATCCTTTGCTCCCAACTTCTTACTAATGCCTTCTTATCTGAAGGAAAGAACTTGGGTTTGAAAACAACCCCTTTGGCTCCCAGGATTTCTCATTTGTTATTTGCAGATGACATTTTGGTTTTCTCTAATGCTAAAATGGAAGATTTAAGCAGAATCAAAAGCATCACAATGGATTATTGTAGATGGACGGGTCAACAAATTAATTTCTCTAAATCTTCTATCATTTTTAGGAAGAACATGGAAAGAAGGAGGAGGGTTATCTCTAATTTTTTGGGATTCATGGAGGTCAAAGAGTTCTATTATTTGGGTAATAAAATTGCTTTGAGAAGACTTGTAGCAGCTGACTTCTCAAAATTTTTGGAAAAAGCAGCCTTTAAATTATACATTTGGGGAAGAAACTTATTTCTTCGGCTAGCAGGATTGTTCTCATCAAATCAGTGTTGCAAGCTGTTCATGTATTATTTTCTTCAATGTCTTTGGCACCTTTGAGTATCTTGAAGAAACTGGATAAAATGTGTAGGGATTTTCTTTGGAACAAAAATAATGGTAATAAAGGATTACATTATGTGGCATGGAAGGATATTTGTAAACCGGAGAACCAAGGAGGTCTGGGCATTAATTCAGCTCTGGATTCAATTGAACCTTTGAGATCTAAACTAGTTTGGAACTTTTTAAAGAAGCCAAATTCATTGCTTAGTATGTCCTTGTCAGCTAAATATGGTAGGAATGTTTGGGATGATAAAGGAAGGCCGAATTCTTCTACAACATGGAAATTGATTCTGAGTGGAGCTAAAGCTTTAAGGAAAATAGTGAGGTGGAATCTCAAAGATAGAGTTTCGGTGGATATCATGAAGGACATTTGGGTACTTGATAAATGTCTGGATAAATGGCCGACATTTATAACAATGGGGGATGAGAATTTGCCCACTCTATCAAGTTTTATCTTAGATGGACGTTGGATATCGGAAAAACTGCAGGAGTTTTTTGGGAAAGAATTGGTGAAAGTCATCTATAATATAATGATTGGAATGGATTTGCCTGAAAATGAACCAGAACTGTTGAGAATCTTTTCAGGAAAAATTATTGCTGCTATTGAAAAATATAGCAATACAAGCTGGGAGGAAGAGGAACAAACACTGGTACAAGATTGGAAAAGCATTAAAAACCTGAAGCTCAGTCCTCAGGTATCTTTTTTCTGGTAGAGGCTCTTGAAGAATGCTATTCCTACAATGGATTTCTTGATGCATAGAAGTCTGTTGAATAATAATCTTTGTCCAAGAGGTTGTGAGATGAAAGAAGATGCGGAGCATGTGGTTGTCAAGTGTTCTAAACTTATTCAGGTAATTCAAATGGCTAATCGGTGGGGATTTTCCTTACCTATTTTCAATAGTTTACAAGAATGCTTAAAATTTTAAAGGAAGCATGGGAAGGAGGATACTTTCATTACAAAAACTTATCGTGCTTTGGTTTTTCACTCATGTAAGAGTAGAAAGAATCTTATTCATGAAGGGCAGGAACTTGGAGCTGGATTTGTCATTATTAATGCTATCACTTATGCATCTATATCATCTAGAGGTAATCTATATTCAGACCACTGGGGTGCTAACTAGCATTATATGTTGTATTCTTCTTCTTAGCATCCCCCTCCACCCGGATGGTTTAAGGAGAACATAGATGCATCGTTGCTTACCTCTAATAAAGCAGGGATAGGAGGTATTTTCAGATATCATAAAGGAAGAATGCTTCTTTCTTTTGGATTCTTAGTTGTGCATTGGGACATTGGATATTTGGAGTTATTAGCATTTCGTTCCTTGGAAAAAGTTATCAAGGATTGGATGTTGGATGCAAAAGGTTTGATTATAGAAGGAGACAACGTTAGTGTTATTAAGCATCTACAGAACTTGGCTTTTTATGGAAATCGTGTGGATGATCATTCTACAAAAGAAGGCTTGGACTTTCTGAATGGATTTAAGGTAATTCTGTTTCATTTTGTTAATAGGTGTTGTAACAAGTTAGCTCGCTGGTGTGCTAACAATGCTTTGAAAGGAGATTTCTTTTGGGATGTTTTAGAAACTAATAAGGTTCCTCCTATTTTTTATTCTTTGTTAAAGGAGGAATGTGATAGGTTTTCTATCACTTAGTTTTTGTTGTAGGTTTTCTTTCTTATTTTAATGCGATTTGTAGTTTAAGAAAAAAAAAAACCGACTTAATATATGTAAGTATGTGCTAAATCAAGTAATATAGTGAATGAGTAGAGTATCGATCCCACTGGAAAAATATGCTCACTCTCAAACACTAGTACTGTCTACAAAATTTTCAACAATTATTCTACTCGATAAAAATTGATGTTGTGGAGATTCAATTACTTAAATAAAATTAGAAAAAAATAATGAACACGCTATATGAATATAATAATTTGATTGATGATAAATAACATATTTTTTCTAATTATTCTATTTTAATTATGATGCTATTTAAACCATATACATTCCTAGATCTCAATCGAGCTTGTAGGAACAAAGGATGTCCACCAGATTACTATGGTTATATGATCTCATTAAGAATTTAGTACATTTCATATCCTATACCTAGGCATGATGCATACTAATATAATATTCATAATTATGCGTGCTTCCCTTCGTCGAGGCCCCACATTACCCTTAATTTTAACTACACATATAGCCACTATATGCATTAAATTATGATCTAGTAATATTGAAAATATTATTTGAATCATTTAAAAAATAAGAGAATTCATTAGTATTATATATGATATTTACATCATCTATCTAAAACTAGAGAATTCAGCCAAACATGGAGTAGAATTGAAGAAAACTCATTTACATTGATAGCATGAAAAAAAGAAGTTACAAAAGATAGATACCACCAAAATGGTTCAATGGATCTCCTTTACATTCCTCTATACTTAAAAATTTTCTTCCACAAACACAAGACAAACAATCTAATGATGGTATCAAGTACTTCTCAAAATTCCCTTATTTTTCAACCTAAGAGAAATTCAAAGAAGCACTCTGAATTATACTAAAATTATATAATTGACTGAACTCCCCCCACAAACATAACACAATAACTATTTATAAGTAAACACAAAGTAGGCTCATGGAGCTACGATGTTAGAAAGTTTGGTGTCATTGCTTATCTTCCAAATAAAAGAGTTAAAAACCAACTCTCTTATATGAAGAAGAGTAAACCCTAAAGAAAAACTTGATTCATATGATATAAACAAACAACTTGATTAAGAAAAATTTGAAGGAGATTCATTGGCTTGCAAAAATATTCATATGAGATAGAGGACTATAGGAAGATTAAGCAGATTTCTATTTCAATCTCCAATTTCTAATTTGAAATAGATTTTAATTCAAAAATAAATTACACCATTAAAGGAGTTAGAGGATTATGGATAACCTTCAATTTTTCTTCATCTAACTATTTTAGAAAAGTGAATCACAACTTACATAAAATTTTAAAAACAAGGTAAGATTCTCAATTAAAGAAAAATTCAACTACTAACATGAGTAGTTATCACATTCTTAAATTTTAAAAGTTTTTTTATACAAACACATGCTTAAAAGTAAAAACATAAAACACTGAAAGACAGAACATAGAACAAAAACACAATATTCATATTTTAGATTTTCAAAGCATTTAATTTCAAGCATGAATATCTATGACACCTAATCTAGTTTTAAGGTGTTAAAGGTTTAAAAAGCCATATATTTTATAAAGATATATAAAAGTTGACTTTTAGTGGCTACATGATGTAGCTCTATTTCTCCTTTGGTGGCATAGTCCCTAATGAAATGGTGCCTTATATCTATGTATTTGTCCTAAAGTGTTGGATTAGATTTTTTAAAATATATATAGCAATAGTGTTATCACCCAAGATTGGAATGGTGCCTATCTGTAATCCTAAATCTAGTATTTTTTGCTTTAATGAAAGGTCTTGTGCCACAAAACTTCATGGGGCTATGTATTGTGCTTTAATAGTAAAAAGGGATACTGAGTTATATTTTCTACTTGAGCAGAAGACTAAAGATTATCCTATGAATTAGTAGGTTTCAGAAGTACTTTTACTATTAATAAAAAATCTTGCAAAGTCTG